TCCTGCTCCTCTGGGGGCCCTATGTGGTGGCCAGTTACCTGCGCGTCCTGGTGCAGCCGGGCGCTGTCCCGCAGGCCTACCTGACAGCCTCGGTGTGGCTGACATTCGCGCAGGCTGGCATCAACCCCGTGGTGTGCTTCCTATTCAACCGGGAGCTGAGGGACTGTTTCAGAGCCCAGTTTCCCTGCTGCCAGAGCCCCCAGGCTACGCAGGCCACCCTCCCCTGCGACCTGAAAGGCATTGGTTTGTGAGGCGCGCTCTGCCAACCCAGGCTCCCTCTGGCTTCAATTGTGACCGCGCTTCTTCCCCTTCTGTCCCGTGTCTGGTTTTTCTCCGCTGCCTTCACAAGACTCTCAAAGTGGACACACGCACTTGGATTGTACAGACTTCTGTTCTGGGGGCGGGGGAGGGGATGCCGTGGTCCAGTTCCGTCCTTCTAATTATACTTTCTTCCTGGCGGTAGGCCCTGCAGTCTTTTTCGTACTGGTACCGACTTCTTTTCTTCCACGTGTGATTTTTTTTTTTTTAAATAAAGGCTACACTGGTTTTATTCATGCAAAGTTTCCTAGAGACCATGGCCGGTTTTCTACAGAAGCTATTTTTGACCACCTCAAGTGGCATTACCTTTGCTTTGCAGTGAAGGAGGGAGAGCTAGGGGGATCTTCTATTGGAGATGGAAGAGAGAGACAGAGTTGTCTAAAGTCCCCTCTGAATCACAGGCCACAGGACGAGGTGTGCTGTGTGCCTTCTTTGGAAATGTGGGGAACTTTTCCCAGCGGTGACACTGAACTTTAAGAGGAAATGGGAATGGGTAGGAAGGCAGTCACGTTTGAGTCAGTTAACAAGCAAGGTTTGAAGCCCTGTTTGTATTACTTTAAAAACTACACATCAGCAACAGCTGCTCTGTATATCAATCTTGAACGAAATATTTCTGTGAGACTGTGACTTTTAAACAGTAAAATGTGTTTTGGATAGTAATGTGGAGAGAAAAAAAAACAGTATTGCATGTGTTTGTACTGATCGTGATTTTTGGATGGGGAGGGCTCTGGAGGGCAAAGAACCACCGGTTGGTTTGGGTTTGGGGTTTGGGTTTGGGTTTGTTTTTTTGTTTTTTGGTTCTTTTTTTCTTTTTTGTCCCCAGTAAAAAGTTAAAATACTTTTGTGGAAATGGCTTGTGCTTTGGTAAGCCCAGTTTTGCTCTGTCTTATGAAGCTGATCTTCACTTCGAAGACTTTTGTCTATGGTAAAAAGAAATGGGATGTAATGGTGCCCAGGAGACAAAACCTTTTCCTGCAGTGTGTGCTGAGTTAGGTGGTGCTGTTCTATTGATGGCTGATTTAAATGATTAATAAGAACTATAATTTAAAATACTATCTCTTTGTTAGACATTGTCATTTGGAACTGAAGGACTACATTGCAAGTACTGTATAATACTTTTGGCTTAAACTGCTATGTTTTTATTAATGTAACTTGCGTTTTGAAGATTTCTATCTGTACTTCTCTTTACATTACATAAATACACCAGTATTTTCATTCTGGAGTGGCTGTTTCGTTGTTGTTGTTGTTGGAGGCCAAATCCCTTTAGGCTGTGGCTAAGTAATTCAAACTCTAGTCCTGTAGTATGTGCTGTCCTAGTTCAGGTTTTTGGTTTGGATATTAGCATTGCTGAGACATTTGGAGCCCTTTGGGAGTGGGGGTGGGAGTTAGTGTATACGTGTATGCATATACACATCGAGGCCAGAAATTGGCCTCTGTTGGTCTTCCTCGTTTACTCTCCATGTTATTTTTTGAGGCAGGGTCTCTCACTTAACCAGGATCTTGCCAACTTGCTGGACTAGCTAGCTAGTGAGCCCCAGGGACCTTCCTGTCTACACCTCCTCCGCACTGAAGATTATAGGTGCCCAGATTTTCCCTTTTCACATGAGTGTTAGGGATTTCTCATGCTTTTGCAGCAAGCAGGTGACCACTGCTGAGCCTTCTCCCCAGCAACTACTTTTTAACTTTCAAATGCAAGATAAAATGAGCAAATTGGGATTGGGGAGATGGTTCAGTGGTTAAGAGTGCTGGCTGCTCTTCCAGAGGTTCTGAGTTCAATTCCCCGCAACCAAATGGTGGCTTGTAAGCATCCATAATGAGATCTGGTGCCCTCTTCTGGTTTATAGGCAAACATGCAGGCAGAATACTATACATAATAATTTTTTTAAAGGGCAAATCTCTTTAAATGGAAGAAATGATGAACACACATGCTATTTTAAATGGTTTTAAAAACAAAAGCATTGGCTTGGAGATGTACCTCAGAAGGAGAACATTTGCATAGTATCTGAGAAGCTTTCAATTTGATACCTAGAGCCACAGGAGGAAAGGTTCACTGATTTAAAATATAAGGTAATCATTTTGACATACTATTCAGAATGGATATAGTAAATATATGGTTTATTTTGAGCATAATATTAACTATTAAACATTAAGTCCAAGAGCAGTGGACAATAAGGCCATGTGGGCAACCTGTCTCTACCAAATAGTGTTATTTGTTCTGCTTGTGAAAGTTGAAGACATTGTTCTATTTGGAAGGCTCTTTGACTCCCTTTGACCTTAGTTCCACCATTGGGTTTTTAAGGGTCATTCATCAGAAACCATAGTCAACTCATAAACAGAGGGGGCAGGGCAAATAAATCTCCTGCCATACTCCTATCCAAGTGATTCAAGCTCAAAACACAGAGGTCACCAAGGCCATGTTTTATTCAAAATATTTAGTATCTAGTATGCCACAGGAACCTGCATATCACAGGACATCCCGGAGCTCTTCCAGCCTTAGACAGCATTAGATGATAGCAGAGAGAACCTCACCTGTTGGTGTGATACTGGGTTATTTTCAGAGGGATTAGCTTGGCATGCTTACACAAGCCGGTGGTTCCTGGTGGGCAGTGCTGAGTCAGGGGCCCTTCTCCACGAAGAAGTCATCTTCCTCAGCTCTCCATTGTTTCAAGACATGACTTACTTTCTATATGCTGTGTGCAGACTTGGTCACAGAGGAAGGCATGGTTTCCAGTGAGGATCCAAGTCAGAGCAGCATGAAGCGGTCATCAAGGAAATTGCAGCTGTGTCCCAGATAATCAGCTCCTTGTAGCAGGGCAGGTACAGCGCACTCAAGGAAGACAGGCACTAAAGGTGGCTCCTTTGCTAATTTTGGGACATTAATTCAGCACACTCCGCTCCCCAGGGTGAGTTGAATGAGTTATCTCCATACTCAAAGCAACAGGAGTTGAATGAGTTATCTCCATACTCAAAGCAACAGGAAAAAAAAAAAAAAGCTATGTATAGAAATCTCCATCTGCATGCTCTGGTATGGATTTATTGAGTTTGAAAAGAGCAGTTTTAGGTCTTCTGGTGCCCTCTATCAAATAGCTTTTCAGAAAGAGTAGAGCTGTGTAAACCAGAACCTGACTTTTCGTCTTATTAAAACGTGGGTACTTCTAGCAAAATGGAGAGTGGTTAACAAATTGGTAGCCACGATAAGTAATCTTTGGAACCACTGTGCCATCTTACCAGAGCCTGTCGGTTTGGTCAAATTGGTTTCCATTATTTTTAATGTGTCTGTCTGTGTGTGAGTGCATGCATGTGTCGTACACATGAGTACATGCCATGATGTGCGTGTGGAGGTCAGAGGACAGCTTGAAGAAGTTGGTTCTCTCCATGCAGGTCCTGGGGGTCAAACAGCTTGTCAGGCTTGGTGAGTGGAAAACTACTTCATCTGCAGACCCGTGTCAGTAGCCCGCCTCTTCTTCTTTCCCCTTTCCTTTATTTATTGCTTCTCTCTCTCATCTCCCCCTTTTCTTTGGATGTTTTTCAAGAAAGGAAAGACCATGATTACAGCTCATTCTTTGGTCTGGCCAACAGCCCTCAATCTTTCAGATGCCCTGCCCTGAAGTAGAGGCAAGCTTTTAGGTCTGATTTATGCCTTACTTGTTTCCTTGTTTTTGGTGGTGGCGGTTTCAATTCTTCAGCTGAAATAGCAAAAGAGGTACTTGGCCCTGCTGAGAACATAACCAGTCCCCAAGGGCCACAGGTCTGGAGCAGAGGTTTAACAAGGACCCTCTGAGTCATCAGTCAAGGCAGTCTCTCAGAGGTGTCTTAGCGATCACATGGTGACATTCCCAATCATTCAGACAAACTGTGGACATGGCATGCAGTCCAGCAATTCCACTGGTGTCCCAGCCTCTGACAGTCCTTATTTCTGCCTCTGTGTCCTCCATGGGTGCACAAGCCAACTTCCTTGTTTCTCAGCATCTTTGTTGCTTCCTCCATTTCATTCTCATGGCCCAGAAATTCCAAGGAAGATGGGACCCCGGCTGAGAGCTCAGGCAGACCACTGAGTGGGTGGGATATACCACATATCTAACATTCTGGGCTGAGTAGAATGTCTTTGTTGCCATAGGAGGGCATTCATGGGCCCTGCTCTTTTCTCCAGTCTGGGTCTCCTTGTATTTCCACATTCCCTTCTTGAGTTGCCTGTGGGTATACCCTCCATGCTCTCCACACCTGCCTGGGAAGTCTTCCCTAGGTTATGTCCAGCAGGATAATAGGTGCAATTTGTCAATATCTTAGGAGGCATGAGCACAAAGATACTGCACAAACACCAGTGCCCCAGGTCGTGTGTGGACATTGGCTCTGTGCTAGACCCAGGCCAAGGACTTTGGGAAAACCTTGTTCAGCTACAATGTCCTACACTCAGTTTCCTCCAGGAAGGCTCTGCCTCAACTCACGGGACACATGGTGTTTGCTGTTCCCTTCTCCAGTCTCTCTTCTGCCCCTCTTCTATCCTCTAGCCACCTTGGGTCACTGGCAGTGTCACACAAATAATTTGTTCCTATGTCCAAAGACCTTATTGCCCCACCCCTCTGAATTACATATTAAACGTCCAGACCTAAAGAGTAACAAGTCATAAAGAGTGAATGCCTCCCCTCCACACAGTGGTGGACCTTATCCTACTCTGACAGAGATCCAAAGCACAGCTGCAGTCATGAGCCCTTACTGCACGGAGCAGCCTGGAACAGTCAAGTACTGACTTACTATCTATCTCGAATAACTCATAAGACACCTGGGTGGCAGGCTTGTGAAATGCAGCTGCCTCAAAATATTCTCAAAATATTCACCTGGGAGATATTTCACCCATGTGGCCAGCAAGACCAGTGACCTTTAGGGTCCTCTGGGTGAGGGGTAAGGGAGACAATGGAGAGCCGTCCTCACCCACTGACACCTGGGTCCTGTGTTGGCACTCTCTCCATACCTCTTTGCTGCCCCAGGAAGAAAGAGGTGTCAAAACAAGATTGAGCTGAGGTCAAGAATTTCTTTCTCCTTTTTCTCCAACTTGAACTAGGGTAAAATGCCCTCTTCACCCTATTTACTTTCTCTGGGGTGCTCTTGGATGAGGATGTGATGCTTGGAGCCACGGCAGCCCAGCTATCTTAAGATCATGAGAAGAGACTGTGATTCAATGAAGGCCATAGACCTTCATCTCTATGAAGGTAAAATCAACCATGGTTTTAGTCATTACAAGAATCCACAGAGCTCACTGGCCAGCAAGGGTAACCTATTAATGAGTCCCAAGCTAGTGAGAGACCCTGTCTAAAAAAAAAAAAAAAAAAAAAGAGAAAACAAAGAAAGAAAAGAAAGGGTGGGGACTGGAGAGATGGCTCAGTACTAGTACCTAGTACTTAAGAGTATTCACTGATGCTGGGTGTTGGTGGTGCACGTCTTTAATCCCAGCACTAGGGTCTCAGAGGCAGGCAGATCTCTGTGAGTTCGAGACCAGCCTGTTCTACAGAGCGAGTGCCAGGATAGGCTCTAAAGCTACACAGAGAAACCATGTATTGAAAAACCAAAAAAAAAAAAAAAAAAAAAAAAAAACAAAAAAAAAAAAAAAAAAAAAAAAAAAGAGGTCCTGAGTTCAATTCCCAGCACCCAGGTGGTGGCCCGAAGCCATCTACAATGGGATCGGATGGCCTCTTCTGTCTGATGCCTTCTTCTGTCATGCAGGCATCCATGCAAATAGAGTACTCATATACATAAATCAATTTTAAAGCACTTGATTGGCAAGCTAGATCAGAAGAGCAAAGGTCATCCACAGTACTGATGCAAGCACATGGTAGGTGTGGTGGCCAGACTATCCCCAGAACAAGACAGCTAGAGACAGACTCCTGGAATAAGCTGACTAGCTAAATTAGCCCAACTGGTGAACTCTGGGTTCAAGTGAGAGACCCTGCCTCTGTGTATAAGTTGGAGAGCGCCTGAGGAAGCCATCCAACACACGCATAACACCACACACATACCACCAAACATTCATACGAAAAAGACAAGATTAAAATAAAAAAGTAGGTGGTGCCTCAGGAATGACACCCTAGGGTGTCCTCTGAGCTCCACATGCATCCTCACACACCTACACACTTGTGCATATGTGTACCTGCACATACAAATGCACACATGAAGTTGGATACCAAAGTCAGTCTTCCTACCTAATCTATCAGATTGTTCTGTCTGCTG